GCTGTTGTTTGAGGTCAAAGTCGATATATATGAGCATTTTGGAGCGATATTGATAAAACTAAATGCGAGACAACGAGATTTTTGACGACGGATGAAATTAACCGGCAAACTTGTAATGGAATGCTGTTGTTTATCGTATCGAAATGGTTGAATTAATAAAGCGACGAGATTCGAATGGATCGAGATAATCGCGTAATAGCAGAATGGCTATTAAATAGCCGGATCCGTTCAAATGAATTCAATATTTGGAATGGAATTGGTAACGAGTGAGATACAGAGAAAGCGAGAGATACGAGGGATAGATTGTGTGTTGCCGCGCATAGAAATGGCCGAAACGTGTTTACGTACCTTGCATGGTAAGTATGCATTGGTGCCAACTTGTACGGTGATATTTGTGATTCTGGTGTCATCTAAATAGGGTCCAATGTCAAAATCATTTTGCAGATTAGGTTTTCCTAATGGTTCTGATGACGATGGTGCGGTTAGTGGCAGAGCAATCGATGGTGGTGAGCTAATTATTGGCTTTGACGATACGGAACTGGTTCCTTTGGTGCTCGCCGACAAATTCGATGGTCGCTCGGTGGATGCTGATAACGAACTTATTAACCACTGGCTGCGTGTCACTGTATCCATTGTTATATTCACTCGCTGCGTCATCGTCGTCGGTATGGTTGTCATTGATGATGATGCCAATGGCGGCTGCATTCGGTCGATATCTGGCCTCGTGATGGCATCTAATAAAAATGATAATAGAAAAACGACTTAACAAAATGCTCAAGCACAAAAAAAATATATATAAATACATAAAAAAACACACACACGGAAAGAAAACCCTTCGAAAATGCCGACAACGGAACTCATGACGATAATAATAATTGCATTTTGTTCCAATCCAAACAATTCGAGCGGAATCAACGCAATAAAATGCCGTGCAAGTACAACAAACTGAACAACATCTTCGTAAATAATTAGGTCATCTACCATGCGAAAGAGAGAATGAAACAATCAACCAAACTGTCGGACGTGAATGAAAGCATCTGAATTCCAGTCGAACTGGACATTCTGCAATAAAATGCGGTAGCTGATAGTAATAACTATTCCTCATTCTGTCTCCCTCTCTCTGAGGGAGTTGTTTTAATGGTTTTTCTCTTGGTGCTAGGTTCGTTGTTGTGTTATTTTCTGGTTATCTTATTCAAGTTAATATTCATCCCTCTCCGTTTTGTGTGACGACAACATGATATGAGATGGAAATGGAAATGAACATCAATGCCAACACAACTGATGAACAAAAATATTACGTTCAATGAACATTAAACGTCGTAAAAATGCTCTTAGGTTAGTCTCGGTTAGCTTGAAACCAATTTTTCACAAGTTTTTCGTATTAACCGCCCCGAAATGGACTTTTCGTTATTTTCCCATTTTTCTTTGCATTCATTAATTTTATGACCCCGCTGTGCATTGTTCAGGAATTGCGACGGAGTATTTTTTGTCTTTCCATTGAAATAGACATCGCTTTGGCTATGGTGTTGTGTAGTTGCCACCATTTTTGAATGGGCCAATAATCAAATAGTTCAAACATTTCTCTTGCCAATATTTACGAGATTTACGCTAATTAGTTTATTTCTTCTTTTGTATAATACTTCAAGCTGCTAATGTGGGGGATTAAATGGAAGATCTTGAACAAATGGCTCGGAATCGCAATTCCATTCATTCATTACCGATTTTGGCTCGCTTTTATTGTTTTTTTCGCAACTTTTTTTTTCATTCAGCATTCATCAAGTTTTAGCTGAAACGAACTATAAATATTCTTTTGTTGGTTGAGCATTATTGAAAAAGCCAAATGAATAAAAAAAAAGTTTAATACAATGCCATAAACAATGCAAGAATATGCTTTAATTTGAACTTTCAATCTGCATTTCAATATTATAGATTAAATTCGGTGGAAATTACATTTCTAGGAAAACTTATTATGTGTGCACATTGTGCTTCAACCTTTTTCTAAGAATATTTGGGTTTTTATAAAAGAAGAATAAAAAATGCTGACAATGTAACACAATAAGGTAATGCAGCTTCTACAAGATGCTTCTTGCTTGCGAAAGCAACATCAATTTCGCCTACTCAAATAATGAACTTTTCCTGTTGAAAACAAGACTTTCTAGAACAAATTCAAACTATTACTTCTTCAAACTAAGTTTCTTTCAAGAAATTGCAACTTTTACTAGTATCAATAAGGTGAGATTGCTAACACATGTTGCAGAGACAAAGGTTGTTAACAGTATTTTTAATTATAATTAAATTGAGATGCAATGAAGCTATTAGCTTTGTAAAATATTTGCAAAATTTGAGGTGTTTCATACAATTTGATACAATTATTATAATATTTTTCATCGCATTTGTGTTCTCTTTTCTTTCATTCGGACGAAGGATGGATTAAATTGAGGTCCCGTCAATCAAATTGTGGATTTAATTTTGTAGAAACTATGCTGAAATTAAACTTTATATTCGCAAAACTATTATGATTCTGATATTTGAAAAAATGTAAGTTTTCAATTTGCAGGTAAGTAGAGAACACACTTGAACTTGGGAACACACACAGAAAAGTGACACTAATACACTTATAGCAACTATATAATATTTGATACTTTACGGATTCTGTACAACTAACACAGATACATTGTACTGAATCGGTATAATTTAGATGTCAAACATCTGAGATGAGCTGACACATACAAGTCAGTACAATGTATCTGTTTCAACATTTTCAATGCCACTGTAACATTCAAAGCGAGTATGGAAAAAGAAAAGACGGAAAATCGGGAATCGATTGTGATTTTAAATTGCAGGTTTGACTAAATGAACATTCTTCAACATCAACTCGAATCGTTGGAAATTTCATCGATAAAAATTTGTAGATATTCCAAAAAAATTTATCAAATAATCAAACAAAGAACATCTAAACTGAGTCCACTGCGAACAAAGTCTCTTTTACGCTAACAGCAATTCGTACACGAACGAGTCAGTGCGACAGTTAGCGTGAGCGAGACAAAGTTTGACAGCAAACAATTTGGTTATATTGGTTTAAATGTTCTTTATGTTTTTACTAACTATGTGATGTTAAGAACAATCACAATCAACTGAAGGTTCTTTCGAATGTGAAAATTGTTTGACATACAATTTTAATGTATCCGAACTTTAGATTCAGAAATGCACCTAAAATGGCACATGACTTTTAGTCATCAGCTTAGCAAATTTTATGCTTCACACTTTAATTGCCCTTGCTTTGAGATGTACAAATATTATGCCACTAAATAAATTTCTAAATTTCTGATAAGTCTAGAATAAAATATACCATGTGTATATTGAGTGTTTCCAACCAGAAAAGTGTTGAAGATGGTAGAAGTTCTTTTGATTTAATTAATATTCAAAAGTTTGAAATTCAAATCAAAGTTGTGATATAATAGAATCATATTCCTTGGAATCGAAAAAGGGATAACATTAACAAGTTATTTGAATTTCAAAATAAGCTAATTTACAGTCGAAAAAAAAAACGAGTTTTATTCAGTTCATAAAAAGAATTTAAACGATTTTCCATTCTCATTTTCGTTTATTCAAAGAATCAATTTCACCTGATAAAAAAAGAGCAACCGGAAATCTGTTACATTGAACCCTTGTGAAATCTGCGCTGTCATTCTAATTCGCTGTTTTTCTTCTATCGCTGTAACCGATTGAGATAAATTTGGGCAAACAAAGAAAAGAAATTCATTTGAAAAGTGACTCATTGCGATTTTTTTTTCTTTTTCGTGTTCGCGTAAAAGCAATTTCGAACAATCCAAAGAACTAAAAGGCAATAATCGTTTGTGTTTATCGTTGGCGTCGGTGGATGTTGAATGAAAATACGGTTGAGGTATATAAACTTATAATGGAGTACATTTCATGTATACCAAGAAAGAAACGAGAAAAAAGGCGATCTCAGCAATTGCGTTTGTGTGTCTTAATTTCTATTTCACATTGTTTAATTTGAGCGCTGAAATGTGTAAAAATGCAAAGCGACGGAAGTAATTTGAATTCATGACACTTTGAGTGAGAATGGTGCTGCTCTTTATTCTTTGCACAATTTTTTTTTCTCCAGCTGCGAGTGTATGTGAGAGAAAAAAAAAAGAGAATTAATTCGTTCGTTTATACAAACTGAACCCTTTTCATATGCACTGAAAAGTAAACATCATGACTAGGTGGCCCAGTTTTCTGTCTCATCTTCCGAGTTGATAGAAAAATGCATGTCGTGTATAATGGATTTGGTTGATAACATTGTATGACCGTGTGCGAAATATCTCCTCTGTACTGAAGCTGAATTTAACCGTTTTCAGCACAATTTTAATGGTTTTTTCTTCTGGTTCAGAGTTTCAAAGTAAGCTCGCTAGTAGTAAGCGCTCATATTTCCCACAGTCATTAAAAAGCTAAGCGATTGTTTGATGGCCATAAAATATTTCCCTTGTCGTAAATCTAGCAAACAAATTGCATGGGCTGAACGTCTTTGAGCGTCGGCGGTAGCAGCAGCAGCAACAGAACTTCACGCCTGGCACCGGAGTGTCGAATCGATTTTTATTGCGTACAACAAATAATGAACTTTATGCGAAACACAACACCAGACTTCATGTATCCTTTCCGCATTTTGCTCAATTATATATTGTATTGCCATGGTCATATTTTTAATCGAAATCGAGCAATGCAATGTAATTTCAAGGTTCAGGCTACATTACCACCACTACCAACAACACACCTGCAACTACCAACAACAACAACACCTGCAACTTTATCGTCACAACACCTGAATATCACAACGCGAGACACCGTGAAATTGGCCTCCGCCAAACAAAATACGATGCAATTGACATTTTTATGGATTTCTTTTTTTCTTCGTAAAAATGTTGCCATGTGAAAAACAAAATACAACGACTCTTTAAGTCAATTTAAAACAGCATCTTTGCTTCGCTTCATAAAATTCACATAACAAATTAAATGCCATACGATTTCAAGCACGCCTCAAAACCACCCAAACGACGCTGCGTTGTATAACACATTTTCCACCACTTTTTATGGCTATTTAATCAACAATGTCGTATAGTACTGATTTTGCTACTCGATTTGCCTTTGGTTTAATTCATAACACCCTCAACGCAATCAAATCTCATTTTGCAAAACTGTGCTCCAGTCTTTTACGGCTTTAGAATTTAGGATTTTAAAGTGGAGATTTCGTTGGGAACCACTTTATTGGTCAACGTCTTCGAAATTGTCTTGGTTTTATCCCAAACTAATCCATACGAGTTTATAGCTGGAAAATTAGAGATTGGTACGATTGTATAAAATTTTGGTTTTTACTGCAAACTTTACTAATATTTGAAGAGTGTTTTTAAAGCTTCAACAGTAATTCGATTTTCTTCGGAAGATTTAATGAAGCTGTCGTCTCAGAATTTAATGAAGCTATCGTCATAGTCTGATTTGTTTTTTCGAGCAAAATAGAAAACGAGGAAAAGTGTAAATTGGAAAAAGTTTTTTTTTTTCAAGAAAAAGAAATTATTTACTCTGTAATAAGAGTTTGCGGTATTTTTTTTCTCGTTAAATGAGAAACTTTCAAAAAACTTAAACATCTGTTTTTGTTCACGAGCTGCGGCATTTTTCTCGTATGGTATTGTTTAGTTTACTACTAATAAAATTATGCACACAGTTCTGTACTTCCAAGTTCCAAACTCGTAGTATAAGTTATTCTCACATCTGCTTACAAAAACATTGTGTGCACAACCCACTACGCCACGTTCACTTGTTTGAACCTCAATATCGACCGACTTTTGATCGAATTCGGAACAAAATCGAATTTCAAGTGCAAGATACACACACCGGCTGCTCATCGAGTTATGTCAATCAAATAGGTCATTCGGTTTTGGTATGTATTGAGTTACTCTTGTGCTACACACTTTTTTATGGAGTCGCGTGCTGACGTGAGTCTGCAAGTTTGCTTTTTATTGGAAAATAAAATTCCGTTCCATACACATTTTCGAGGTTCCAATAAATATGCCAATGTGTAAATCATTTGATGTGTCTGCTCTGTGAACTTGTTTACGCTGAATAATAATGAAGTTTAATTTCGTGCTATAGAAAAAAGTTTTTCGAATTAGTTGAGCAAGTTGAGTTTTTTAGATTAAATTCTTAATATATAAAGTTTTTATGTAATCATTTTTCAATGAAAAAGAAATCTTTCCGTATGCCATTAGGAGATTATTCATAAAAACCAAATTAGACTTATATTCTTCTTAAATGCCTATGCTGATTTCAATAGAAGAAGTCGGTGTCTTGATTCGTCTTGATATTCACGGTCAAGACTTATTCATGAAGGAAAATGAATATTTACGCTTGTTTTTTCCAAGTTGTTAAGTTGTTCTCCTGTTTCAATACTCTGGCATTCAATCATTTATTCTCACTTTCGCTTCTGTTGGTGCGCGATTGCCCAATGTAAAACTTGTTTTATTTATTGGTATCCTTTATACAAGCAATCGTGCGAACGTGTTTTCGTGCATGGATGTGAGCGGATGAGCAAAAAGAAATTTCTATTTTGTATCAAATTTATACGTTCAAACGGATTGGAATTACACACGAACACGAAACATATGGAAAATCTATGAAATATGTATCCAAATCGCCTCTAAAAAGTCTTCTATAGCATGGTAAGCATGGTAACTGTATACATAAGGAGCTGGGGTTATTTATTCTGGATTAAGTCAAGGAATTTAACAAAAATTGGTATTTTTGATCAAGGTGAATGGTGAATGTGAAATGAACACCACCGTCAAGTATACAAAAGAGAAAGGTTGATTTTGGGCGAGTTTTCTTGCCCTGGTGAGTTTTCTCATATAATTATGTAACGTAAAAGATTGTTGGCAAAGAATCTGCGTTTCAACAGCTTTTTGGCGCTTGAGCTAGATTTTATATTATATTGCATCTAGGTCTGTGTTCCATATTTTTAGCTTATTCTCATTTCAACAATAACATCGACATCTCGTTCATGTACGAACTAACACACCACAGTTTCCATAACCATGTCGTTTCTTTCTACCTATCTATGGCTGTTTGGAAATTTTCAACTGGAACTTAAGTAATTTCATCGGCACGTGCCATTAAAAGTTGTGAGATTCAAATTTCTTTAGTTTCCATTTCAATATGCAAATATATCAACAACACTAATTAAATTGTTCTTTTACACCTGCATATTTTTCCGTACATACTTATATCGCAATACTGTTGTTCGAATCGCTTCTCCTTTCTATAAATTTTAATGAGAAGTGAATAAAGTTTAGAATTCATTGTGAGATAACAAGCAGAAGCGGCGTCATTTCTGACAGTTGAGACATTTAAACCAAACAAGTCTTGAATTATTCGGAAAGAATATTCATAAAAACCATTAGTTTTTTTAATTTTTTCTGACCAAGTGATGCTGAGAACACCATGGCAACAAATTTCAAGTGCTCAAAAGTTTTCAATTGTATTTTGTGTTTGTTCGGTTATTTATATTTGTTCATCGGAAGGAATTCAGGGATTTTGGGCAAGATGTTCTTTATGTACACGAAGCACAAGAAAGAAGAGAGGAGATAATAAATTAAATAATGTAAGCTCCCATTTTAACGAAAACGAATACAATTTCGGTAGATCGTCGGAACGCGAATATGGAGTTGTAAAATGCTGTGTTCTACCTTTTATGGTGGCTATTGACGTTTGTCAAATTCATCGATCGATTCATTTACACAGACTTGTGAATATTACTTCGTGTAATTTGGTAGTGTCAGTTCAAAGGTCCCAAACACTTTGTAACAATCTAAATGATTTTATCATTGTATATTACCTCATAACATATCCCACAGTATCACATCAGAACAATTTTCGATTACTACATTCAAAAAATCGATTTGTCGCCTTAGAATTGGAAAACATGGCTTCCAGACAAACAATAAATTAATAATGAAATTGTGAAATGTAAACTAGTTTGCATCTGTGTCGGTTGTAAATTTCAACTCATGTATATCATAGATTACCTATATGACACAATTTACAATTACACAAAAACGTAGATGTAAATGCCATATTCATATCCACCGCAAACAACTGGAATTCATGACTGTACGAATCAACATTTCATGATGGATCGATAATTTGCGCGTGTCACAAAATAGAAGTAAAAATTATTTCTTCTTCTTGGTCGAAATTGAAAAGAAGTACGGGAAGTGAAAGTTGACTTTTTCCAAGTTCTAGTGAATAGATTTTTGAAAGTTAAATTATTAGCTTTGCTTTTTTCCAAATAGAACAAACGTGAACACGATTTATAATTTTTTTTTTCTATGTGAAAATAAAGCATTCATTAAAATGGCTTTTGTACGACGGTCGCGCCGAATCGATTTAATAATGGGTGTCATTTTAACTCTGCTTATTTTGAATTTGATTTATTTCCAAAGAATTGAACTAAAACTTGATTCCGCCAAATATCTATCAAATATTTCAATGGGGTAAGCATTAAAAGCAAAATAGTTCAAATTGGCCAAAAATGTAAAAAAAAAACGTTTTTATTTAGATCATCTGACAGGATTGAAAGCAACGGGTTTTTATGGCCATCGTTTTCGACTTCACCTTCAGGATATAAACAAATTTTCTTTAGTCCCGAAACTTTAAAGCAGTCAATACAGCGAGAAGAGAAAAATCTCACAGTAAAGAGGAAAAGTGAACATTTATCATCAATCGATTATTCTATTATCACAACTCGACCACCAACATGTACCATTGAAGCTCCTCTTCTTGATACTCTCAAGCTTGATAAATCACGACATCAAAAAAATAGACAGCGTTTATTGAAGAAGGAATTTGAAGAGGTTGATGATTTTGACAACGAAGCGATTTCGCTTCAAACAACACCTGAACCGACAGTCAAACCACATCCACTTAAAAAACCAAGAATTGAAGAAATTAATTTAGAAACTAAACACCATAATGAAAAAATAATCCAAACTGCTCCCGAAATTCTTTTGTGCTCTGAAATACCGCCAAATTTGATTGGTAAAATTGAGCTTGATACAAATGAAGAGTCAATAGATGACGTTCAGAAGAAGTTGAGCGAAATTCTATACCCAGGTGGCTATTACGGACCAGCAAAATGCCAGGCACGATATCGTGTTGCAATTATCGTTCCATATCGTAATCAACCCAAGAATCTAGCCATTTTTCTCAAAAATATTCATCCATTCCTAATGAAACAACAATTGGAGTATGGAGTTTTTGTCGTGGAACAAACTGTTGGCTCTAAATTTAATCGAGGAATGCTTTTGAATGTCGGATATCTGGAAGCAGAGAAAATTAAAAAATGGGATTGTTTTATATTTCACAATGTCGATTTATTACCGGTGGACGATAGAATTTTATACACTTGCTCAAAAAACCCACGTCATCTGGCAGTTTCTGTTGATATGTAAGATTTTTTTCAAAGGAAAAAATACTCAATGAAGCAGCGGACTTGTCGGCACACTCGTGGATTTAGCATTTCACTTGCTTTGGCGATTCGTGAGTTGCCGAAGCATCATATATGCAGTGCACTCGATATTTAACGTGAAAACCTATATTCGCTACATCGAAGTTGGCCGAGGTATGATTTCGTTTGCGCGTCGCATAAGCAATTTACTTGCGATATAACGTGAATCCCTATATACTATATATCCCAAGTGAATTGCTTACGCGCTACGCGCAAACGAAATCATACCTCGGCCAACTTCGATGTACGGAATATAGGTTTTCACGTTAAATATCGAGTGCACTGCATATATGATGCCTTGGGCAACTCACGAATCGCCAAAGCAAGTGAAATGCTAAATCCACGAGTGTGCCGACAAGTCCACTGCTTCATTGAGTAATGTTTTCAATGATGTTTTAACAGAGATATTGAAAAGAACTTTTCTTTGTTGGGATATAACATGATTTTGGAGACTAATAAATTTTTCCAAATATAAAATCTTTTCCATCGCAGATTGCCATCACACAACACTCTAAGCGGTGCACTTGCAATAACATCTGAACAATTCGAGAGAATAAATGGATATTCAAATCTATTCTGGGGTTGGGGCTATGAAGATTTAGATCTTGCCAACCGGTGAGCTAAAATAGTATACATATATATAGATTTGAATTTAAATATCAATTAATGTCAAAAACTCCTTATTTATTTCAATTGTGGCATTTTCCGTTTGATTCAATAGCTTAAAAAATGCCAGTTATAAAGTTGATCGATGTCACGAGAAAATAGCGCGATACACAATGTTAGGCAGAGATCCGGTAGAACCAAATGTTAAGCGGTAATTTAGACCTTTTCAATTCATTTTCGAAAAAAATCGTTTTGAAATTGCGTAAAAATATTTCTCTTCAGGCTTGATCTCCTAAGGGAAGGTCCTACAAAATTCAAAACAATTGGATTGAATTCAATAAAATATACAGTTCAGTGCATTGATGAAAGTCCTGCTTATACATGGCTTTTTGTCACACTTAAACCGGAAGTGGTGAGATTTGTTTTATACAGTTGAATATGCTTCATATTAATTATTATGTCTCTTAATTTGTAAAACTAGCCCGGAGATGAAAGCAATGTAGAGCAGCTTGGTGTAAAATGATGTCGATGCAAAGAAGTCTGGCTTTTGCAGTTTAAGACAATAAATGAAACTTATAAATTATACGTTAAAATTTTCATTAAATATCAAACAACACTGTTTTCAAAAGAAGACGATTGTTTAAGTAAAACGAAAGTTTTCTCATTAAATATCGAATGTATTTCAAACGCATACTTTATAAAGTCAGCCACTAGTAAAATAAAGCTCAGTCAAGTTTGCCACCCATTCATCGTTAAATTCGTTAAAAAATTCATTTAAGTTTCGTAATCCAACCGTAAATTCATCAGTAAAATTACCACCAAGATCAAACGTTTCGTCAATATGTAAATATGGGCCCCAGAAATCTGCGTAAAATTTCATATTATGAATTAATATCTAGTCCAATAATTTAACAAAAGCGGAACATAATTTAATACTTGTCATGGCTGGCCACTGAAATGTCGAATTCGATTTAAGTCGTGGGATGTCTGTTTCCACAAATGATATCCATAACGCAACCACATTCCTTGCCATTTCAGTGTCTGTTGGATTCAGATGCGCTACTTTCTCCGGATAAGGGAATAAATAAATCAAGTCGTCCGAATGGCTGACGCCACCATCGAACGGATACCGCGAAACGTCTTTTTCATAACCAAATCTAATTCAAATTTATTCAAGAATGAGTCTGCATTAATTTTCAATGTTCACTTTGAAAAGCAAGCTCTCGCCACGGCTTCTATGTATTACCTTGAATAAGCACCATGATAGTCAAATGAATATAGAAAAGTTTGATATGGATTGAACAAGGTATTGACTTGAGCCAATTGTAAAACTGGTTCTTTGAAGCCTATTGTTCCCGCTAACTGGAGTTTTTTTTTTATTGAAGAAAATAAGTAAGAAAAAAATAAATCCACAAAATAGTTGGAATTGTCAGAAAATTGAAAAAAATACTTCAGAAAATCCATTGGCATAGTCCAGAAAGCTGACGGTATTATTAAAAATTTGAGTACCAAATATTTTTTCAACTAAATTGGACAATTTCAATTTTCTACTGTCCTCCACGCCTGGAAAGGTATATCAAATAGGGCATATAGTAAAATATACCATTCTTATATTTATAACTGTACACAGTTGGAAATTATTTGGGAAATGAACAAAAATCAGCACTTTTTACCCAATATATTAACGGCAATAGGTAAAAACAGATTTCTCATGAACCAAGGGCTGTTCAAAACATTCAGGGCTTTTAATTTATCATATAAAGCTGTAAATGGGGTGATTAATACCTCACAATAGAATATTTCGAAAAACAAATTAGTCTTACTTGCCGTTAGAAACGACCCTTCATTCTGAACAACGCCGATCAAAAGAGTGATATTCTTTTTATAGTATCCCATTCGAAGTAGCTTTTCAGGAGAGTATGGCAAATAAAATGATGGTCCACCAACAGTTAATGAGCGACTACCAACCCGGTTTGATCCCTTTATTCGGCCATTATTCTAGTGTAGTTGAAGTTTGTGTATGTATGTAAATTAAAATTGGAGTATAAAAATAGGAAATAAATTGTAGAATTTAAAGAAAAATAATAAAACGAAATTACAAAATGTTGGTTGGCCGCCTTAATCAAATCATAAACATCCATCTTCATGAAAGCATCATTGATCTCTTGTAAACTTGAGTTTTTCGGGACCTTTGCTCTATATGCGATATCTTTGGCGTAAGCAACTGGGTCAAGAGCATGCGTCCATGGTGCAAAGACCGAACCTGAATGTATGATCATCTGTTGGAAAAGATGGTTAGGGACTAATGGACTTAAAAGCAACGATGATACCATTGCTGCACCGCTTGATTGGCCCATAACTGTGATTTTGTTCGGATTTCCGCCGAAATATTTAATATTTCGTTTAACCCACTTTAAAACAAACAAAACATCCAAAGCACCGGCATTGCCTGGGATCTCGGCTGTTTTTGTCGACAAAAAACCTACATGAAATGACCTTGAGTTATAAATCATTGTTTACATTAAAATTAAAGTGTCACAGACTGTGAGTGAGTCACAGTAAAAATAAGCAGTTGCTCAAAAAACATACACATAATTTAAAACACGATGTAACGATAACGAAGAGGTCTATGTTTACCTAACGCATTGAGTCGATAGTTTGGAACAACTAAAACAATGTCATGTTCCAACAGATATGAGGGTGGAAGTTCTGCATTACTCCCAGAGCTAAAAGTTCCTCCATGAACCATAACCAGAACCGGATGCTGAATTTTAATGTGAGAACTCGATGGGATTGATACAGTGAAAATATTGAGATTCAAACAATCCTCGATATCTATGGTTGAATTTGATAAAATATGATGCCCTTGAGGACAACTTTGACCCATTTGAACAGCACTGCGAATTCCATGCCACGGTTTAATGGGCACAGGTGGCTGAATAATTTCAAAATTAATAAATTTTTCTATTTGTTGAATGTTGATACATGCACAATGTTGGATATTTTGTTTTTAAAAATTTGTTCAAAATGATTAAATGTATTATGTTTTATTCTAATTTCTTCAAAAATATTTCTCCAAATTTACTGTTATTCAATTTGTTCGTTCGAGAACTTTAAAGCAAAGACAAATTGTACCTTGAATCGTCTTGCACCACTTGGTGATTCAGCATATTTAATACCCAAAAATTGATAAAAACTGCGGTTAGTCCATTTGGTAAATGCAATTGATCCCCTTAACCATCCCAAATATGGAATTCCAACAACTGGATCGTCCGAAGCACGCCTATGGGGATTTGACTGCTTTTCAATGGAAAATATTGAGTTTTAAAAGTTTTTTGAATTTGAAATTTTCGTATTTGTTTCCTTTTTGCTTTAAAAAGATGATTTTATAGAAGTTCAAGGATTTTTTGAAAACCAATTGAATCAATTTCGTGCAATTGAAATTATTTTCTTTAATACTAATTTAACCATTTGTATTTTAGACTTCATGTCGTGTTTTAAACTAACTTGAATGTTCAATTGAACACTGAAACTGAAAAATGCCACGGCTAAAAATAATATAACTTTGACTTTTTCAAAACTAATCATCTTCCTCTATTAAAGCGTTGTCTCACACTGATTCATACCAACAGAGATACTACCGAAAAACCGTTAAAATTCTTGTGACGAATATTTAAACTAAACAAATAGACATCTGTGCCCAATTTAACATTTGTGTTTTTCCATATTTTATTTGCATTACTTTTGCTGGCCCAGATAACGTTGATTATACAAAATGTACATTTGTTTATCACGCTGTAAACATAAAAGCATCGAAATTAATAGCAGAAATATTTACACGTCAAATTAAATATCAATATTTTTCGTAGTGCTCGAACACTAATTCAATTAAATTTATGTATTCAATTATTTTTAATTAAAGACTTTCAATTAATTTAGAATTCCATCGCTACAATTCCATCTATTTTTTAGTTTTATTAGATTGCGTGTGTATTTTTTGAGAGGCAGAAATTAAATCACATCGAAAACCCGTATGTTTCTATATATTTACTGTGCACACCAATTACATTTCTATGCATATAACAAGAGCGTTAATAATTTACTATAAAAACCGGGAACCATATTGATAGCAAACTGGCAAAACCAATTTATAGTGGGAAATTTTCATTCAGCTCATTTGCCAAAGCTAACTTGGATCATTTATGTTGAAAACATGTTGAATCAATGAGAAAAATGACTAGAATGACGTTTGGTTTGGCACCATTTGCAAGGTGGAAGTATTTTGCAATACAAATACGTTCTATTGTTGCTGTAATTGGTTGTTGTCATTGATAGTTGGCAGTATATTTATATAGAAGTTTCATAGTTCAGCGTTCAGCGTCAAGATGTCGCTTAAATATAGCATAAACATGTGCTCCATATGAAAACATAGGCAAATTGAATATTCTGAAAATTGTTTGCTAATAAACAAAAAATCTTTACAGGTTTATCGAACGTAAACCTACTTATGATGTTTGAATTTCGCAAAGAAAAAAACCAGTTCGCAACATTTCATTTCAATTTAAATATAAACATTTTTGAGAAAGCAAACCATCAATAATCGATTTTGCCTCAATTCATCTTTCTTCATTGGTTTTATTGAAAAAGTGGTTGTTTTTCATTAAAACTTAATTAAATAGTCGATATTTTTTCCTCCGCAAATCAAAACATTTGATGTGTGTAAATGGAATGAGCGAAATGAGCAAAATCACTTTAAACATCGAAAAAAATATTGATTTAATAAATGGATGTGTTGAAACGGCTGCTTCAAACGTAATCATTTTTATTGATCTCCATTTATTGGGAATGTAATCATTTATCAAGTAATAATCTTAATTTGAATGGAATTTTTAAATGTGATAACTCGATTTTATTACTTGTACACTTTTTATGCATGCAAATAAAGAAAAATACGAAATACGTGATAAAATCTGGTGAAAGTTTTTTTTTCAGTTTTTACTTCTGATTTTTTTATCATTCACTAATTTACCGCATGAAATGTGAGTGGTTGCGGATTATTTATCAGACAAATAACATTAATCAATGATTAATAATCATTGTGTTTTTTTTTGTATTTGGAAAAAAGTGCGTGAAATTCATAAGCATAAAACAGTAAAAGTGTCAATGCTTATTGAAATTGGGAACGTGCGCTGTTTCAGATTGTCAGAAAGGAATTTTGACGCCCAACGTCAAAAAAATGTGGGAATCACAAATTCCAAATGTGAAGAGACAAAAGCTAAAAAATAGTTAGCATTTTTCGGTCATTCACTTTGGTTGTACCGGCCCAAACGCTGTAACCGTTGTTCATCAATTTTTCGTAAAGTCAATTTTTGCGATTGTACTATCGAGAACATGCTGCCAAATATGGGCAGACCAAAATAACCAATTCCAATGAATGTATATTCAGTATTCACATGCGATACATTTGTCATTGGAAAAGAAGGGAGAATATGCGGAAAACCGCCTAAAAACACTAGCCACACAAATTTACTGGGCAAATGTTTGTTGTTGTTGTTGTTGTTTTTGTTGTTTTATTCCCCACGCGGCACTACTAGAGGTAAGGTTTTATTCCATCCGTTTATGCAAGTGACACACAACCCGCATCCAATACTCCGCAAGCGATCGAAACAACGTAAATATAAATATGTAAATATTAATTTCCGTTCGCAATCGTTCGATAAAATTTTATTTATTTTGGCTTCAGTTCCATATAATTTATAACTGAGTTTTCCCACCCCTTCGTTCGTTCGTCCATTCGGTTGGCGATCCATAAATGGATCAGCGTTGCGGTTTTGCTGTGGCGACACACAACTACATGCATATTTCATTTCCAATACTAATTACAGTTTTAAATAAATTGGTCGAAATTACCAGTCGCTTCGCTTCGAACAGCCAAAACTGACCGAGGCGTTTCGAGGTTTTGCCCATTCGCCAATTTCTAAATGCATATATTTACCTCAATAAATTTTGAAACACTTTATTTGCATATTCCAATTTTGAATTCCAGCATCGAAATCAACTGATGCACAACGAATTGAATCAATCAAAAAGCCATTGAGGCGATCGCACCACTAGAACATGAAATTTATGCATTAATTCAATTGATTTTTGGCGATATTTACACCAAACGTGACCAGATATCCGGATCCAGACTACAACAACTTAATCAACTACAGCCGAAAAATTAGACGAGTATTATTGAATTTCCGACAAAAGAGGCTTTGGGCTTTGAATACACCATGGTTCAATTTAAATTATTATTCCAAATCAAAATCACTGAAAATTCCGCACATACATCCATTGAAACATCGATTCAAGAGGAAATGTCTCTTAACCTTCAAACCGTAAATTGGCCACTGTGTGCCCAAAACCAACTTTGAACCTAAGGGGATTTATCTCTCGCGAATGCTGCGAATGCATTCGTATTTCAGAATAAAAATTCGAATGTTCGCGAATGCGACGAATGCGGCTATGACAGCGAACTTGTGACTACATAATTCATTCGTTCATTCGTGTTTGTGCATGCATTCGCAACGCTGCCGTATGATTTCTATGTAAAAATTCGCACTCGCATTCGTGAGAACGTTCGAGAACAGCGAAATACGACTGCTATACGAATGCGAGTGCGAATGTTTACATAGAAATCATATGGCAGCGTTGCGAATGCATGACACTGAGCGCGAATTTGTGAATAAAAATTCGAGTGCCAAACCGACATAGAAGCCCCTAGCTTTGAACGCTTATATCTTAATTATTTCTTATCATAAATTAATAAAATAACTATGGTTCGATTCGTTGAACATTTGGCTACAAAAATTGCGTTTTTTAATTGGAAGTTAAAAAACATCAAAATCGATCATCATTTCATCAAAATATGGCCATTTTATCAATTTTGGCCAAAAAAATTCCAACGGCCAAATATTGGCCAAATGCCGGCCCATTTTGAAGTTCTATACCAAAAATGACATCTAATTTTCAAGACCTTTCTAGTGATATACACAACTTTTTGATCCAACCTGCCGTTCAAAATCTCAATTTTCTTTCATATTTCGATTTTTTATGACTTTTATCACATTTCAAAGTAATTTTCATACTCTTCCGATCAATAAATACTGAAATATTTACATTTAAAAATAAAAATTTAAGAAAAAACTGACATTTTCCATATAAAATGCATTATGGGCACTCAAGCACCGATTTTACGAACAACGTTAGAAAAAACATTTTACGGTTTGAAGGTTAAACATGGCGGAAAACACCCAACACCTCCTAATGATAAATTAACGAAACTGGATTATATCATGGCAATACAATACGCACCGTACAGTAACGATTTTTGTGAAAGAGTCGAAGCGGCATACGAATTAATCACACAATATAGTCATCAAGAAAATAAGCTTCAATGATATCGGGGTTTGGAAATCTATTCTATCTCGTGTAAACCACCGCCAGAAAAAAAGTGATTACCGGAGATACGCATCATTTTAACTGGCAGATCGGGGCAGCCTTCGGGGTTTACGTTAGGGATACTTTTGTGCGTTCTTGTTGAGACACGCTTTAGATACTCGAGTGTAAATTATGTTCAGGGTTGGCATATTTACACAATTTTTAAGCCGCGCATGTAATATACGTAGAAAACTGTAAATTACGTTTTCTACACGTGAAAAACCTCTTGGATGTAGAAAACTGCTAAACTACCAAAACTACAAAAACAATCAGTCAAAAAAGTGTTCGGCCACCACTTTGTTTGCAATAAATTTGATTTTGTCAGAAATCTATGACGTTTAGCTCAAAAAACCCCAACATTAATGAAGAGATCAATGAATCTTACGATAGAAACGTGTGTAGTTAAATCATTTTTTGGAAGCATATGATTTTTAAATTAAAAAAATATGGGGAAAAAAGTCTTTGTTCAAGTACTCACTCAGAAGTACTTTTACAACATGCACGACTTGTATTGGTAATTTGACAGATCACCACTATTACTATTGGTGAGCATAGTGATTTTATATGTATTGTATCGGCTCACCAATAGTAATAGTGGTGATCTGTCAACCAATATAAGTCGTGAATGTTGTAAAAGTACTTCTGTGTGAGTACAGTTGGTAGCATCAAAATATTAAATTTCGAAAACGATTGAAATTGTTAAATCAGCTCTCGGGTATTGTAAATCATGACTAAGGAGTTTCAATTTCAACGAGCATCTGACAGCTGAAACAGATTTACTGGATATCTCGCATATGAATATCAAATGTTCCATTTTAATTATCCATGTATATTCATAAAATTGAAAATGTTTATTCAGGCGAATCGCTTTCAAACGGATTTTCAATCGGATTGTAAAGTACATACACCGCTTTATTTGGTCATCGCAATTATATATGGATTATTCGTGTGTTCTTCGTTCCATGCGATGGTTATCACTGTTGTACGAAATTCTTTGCATGAAAATCGCATGTTATGCCATTGCAATAATTAAATTCACTTTTCATCATTCAGCAAAAAAAAAAGTCATACGCACACAGTGGAAGTATTCTCAGTGTGGAAACAAAATGAACATCAATCGCAA